ACGCTCTTATTCGACGAGTTAGTGCCATCCAGCAAAACATTATTAAGACATACTTCATCCCGCTCTTTCGGCAATCCCATATATACTGACCGTGATGCTGTAGGACGAGACGAGGGGTCGTGAGTAGGGCCGTCGAGTCGTGTAGAAGTCGCTCTCGTATACCATTTTTCCTTTCAGTTCGTTTTCCTTTTCGGTTGAAGATTCGCTCGTTCGTTGGTGCTACGCGTACCTTCTGTTCAACTATCGTCGACAAACGAATCGCTGCACGTACGGCTGCTATCTGTCGTACTGTTAACGTGCGCACCAGAGTGAAAGATCCGCTACTGCGGTCACGATGAAGGTTCGTACGATTCTACTCGTTCGCCGAGAGTCTTCTTCAGCTTCTACTACCACCGTTTCACCCCACTTCGCTCTGTCTTTTTCTCGCCCTCGCTGTACCGACGACCGAGCATATTTTACGTATATACGCACGTCGCGTCTTCTCCGAGAAGAGTCTCGCGGTCACCACTTTGATTGCGTCATTTTCAGCACACGGCCTGATGCATCGAAAGAAATAGAATTGTGTTAAGGTTGCAACTGGTAACCCTCTTTCGATCCTCTCCTACGATCTTTTTCATTCTCGGTTCACTTCTTTTCTCCCCTCCTTCCTTCTACCATCAACCTTCGCCCGTTTCTCTTCTCCCTTCTTTCTGCGCTTTCCGCTTTTTCATTTATATCTTTCGTTTCGTTATCGATAAATACACTGACAAGTGTTAACGTAGAAGCTAACGTCGATCTCCGTTGTTATAAACAATTAATAAACTCCTATTTATGAAATGTACGAACCCTCTTCCTTCGTGATTCTTTTGCACGCGCCATCATACGAGTTACATCGAGATTATGGTAGCATTGCTATCGATAATTTATTAAAGCATAAAACAAAAGTGGAACTTTACAGGAAAATCGTGGAATTAAACATTCAATGCCATGTTTGTTTATTTAACAATACGCGATACTGCTTGTATTACGTCAGATGTTATTATGGCAATTCGCCAGTATTTTGCGCTAAATTTTACGGTTGGATCAAATCCGAATCCTTTATTACAAAAGAACAACTTGTTTCTTAATAACAATTGCACGAAGTTCGAAGGAAATCTATATTCTCCGGCAGAGACATTAAGAAATACCGTGATCCACGAAATTTTCTAAAAATACAGTTAACCTTCTCGTTGTAAGAATTTTTATAATCTTTAAATAAATCGAAAAATTCAACACGTGGATTTGCGAAACAGTGTTGAGTTTGAATCTAGAGGGAAAGGAAAATTTCATCCAATTCCAAAGGAAACAACAATGGTGGTTATTTTTGTAGTCTGCCAAGCAGAAGGCTATATATGTATCTTACAGAAATGGGACGAAATTTATTCGCGTCATTGGATCGCGTAGTATTGTAATTAATCACGGTGTATTTCATTTTTTATATACCGTGGCTATTTGTAACTTGATGATCCTTAATTAATCTAATTTTAATATATCTTCACCGTGAAGGAGTAATGAAGGTATTTTAACAAAGATGTATCGCGAAAACGTATTACGGCCACGTAAATATAATTATATTATACAGAAAACTAAAAAATTATAAAAACCTATTGTTAATAATAAATCGATATTCTTGTCGAGAAATTACTCGGAGCACGAATTTATAATAAAAGTGAGAAGAATCAGCGTAGAAAAGTAATTTTATTAATGGAATCGGTAACGATCGTGAATTTTCGACCGATCTTGGTGAGCCAGTCACTGACTATATAAAGGTTGCAGAAGTAGATCTCTGGATTATTTATCAATTCGACATCGACTCGAAAATTTAACAGAAATGTGTTCGGAATATAAATAGGATAGACACTGATTATCAGCTAAGACTATAGATTAACTAATAATCACTGGTCATATTCACCCACATTTTCACGCAGTATATAATTCCAAAATAATTTTTTATTTACGTGACAAGTTATTATTCCAATGTAATTGGAAAAATTCTTTGGGCTTTAAAGAGGTTTTTTTTACCTTGGACTTTAATTTGCTATATTGGCAGATCATCGAGCTGATGGTACCCTCATCTTGGTATGAAAACGAGCATCTGTGGCCATAGTCGACCTGGGTACGCTTGTGCGTATTCGACCGGGGTATGGACCCTGTAGATGCGCATAACGTGCTTGCTGGCAGATCTCTTGGGGTGGTTCTTAATTGGCTCCTAACCCACGAGACAGAGACACGGTGCGTCCGACTACTGGGTCTCGATAAGGACCCTCGATTTTTCCCCGAGAATATCACCAGTGCGACTTTCCCTCGTTCTCGTGAAAGCCGTCGAAATCGGGACTAATTCGGATTAGGCGAAGCATAAAGTTACCTTGTGCACGAGAGACTGTCGTATAGGCCGTTTTCATATTTATTTTGAATACTCATTTTAAATAGTCATTTTTACAGGGATAGTTTGAATCGTTAAAAATGCTTTGGAAATCAAAGAAATTGGCCTTGCGAAAGTAGAATTATCTACATCTGCTATACCGAATCAAGTTTCCTTTTATAAGACAGGAAATTTTTAACAAGATGTCTGCAGCATCGCTTTCTTAGTCAGCTGCACGTGGCGAAACGTGGTAATTGGCATCGCTTTTCAAAAGGAAATCTTTAGAAAACGATGCCAAGTCAAAAGCTACGTAGTCCAATCTGGACTTATAGTTTTAATCTAGTTTCCTTCGGGTAATTTGCAAACTCTAGATTAGACTGCCGGTTCCCCTTATACATATATCTTCATGGGAGATCGTGGAATGTAGACGCTTTTAGGTTTAACTAATTATAAAGTAAGCTCTTAAACTAAGTTAATCTTGTGCTTTTTCTCTCTATATATATGTGTGTAAGCTATCCAACTTGAAACGAAGAATTAAAGTTTCCTTTCTATTATGACTTACGTCCATTAAATTGAATAATTGATGATTCCGTGTTTTCATAAATTGATCTTTCGAAACATTTTTACCGCCCACAATTCACAATATTATACGATATACGTACAAATATTATAAGTATAATTTTATAAAACTGTTATGGTGTTCATTCATTATATTTGTCTTGTTCTAAGTTATAATTTCGAAAAAAGTTACTTTTATTATTTACATTTATTGTGTTTTCTCTAAAAACGTACGGTTCCAAACAATAATTGCTTAACATCAATTTATATGAAGATATATAATATGAAGATTATAAAATGATTTGTCTCATATTTTATTTGTAAATTTATAGTTAACATTAGTATTAATTCCTACTAATGTACCACTAATTCCCAACTACTAATATTATAATCTTATTCTATGCTGAATCGGTAATAATGAGAATGATGTTTCACTAAAAAATATGTAAAGCCCTCGAGGCATATAATAAGTACATTTAATAATATGTCTAATAATATGTTATTTATCCTATAATTTACATATAGTATTCTGACAAAAATCAGTGAACAGAAATTTAGAGTAAAGTTTTGATTTAACCATCAGTAGATAATACAGGTAAGAAATAATTCCATAGATTTCTGATTGACATCGTAGGTAGTGTATGTCAGTTACGGTTCAGATATGTCTTTGCAGTGAGTTTTCATAAGTCGTTTATGTGTTGAGAGATTATTTCTTTGCTAAAAGAATGCGTACATTAATAATTAACAGATTATTGCATTTACCTAAAAGCGATTCAATTTAATTAACATATCTCAAACGAAAACTAAAAAATACACATGTTACAAAGCGAAGCTGTCATTCTAGCAGTGTAAACAGAACGAGATTGTATTGTATGATTACTCAACCCGTAAAATGTCCGTAACTGAAGAAAGAATTCAAGAATTAAACAGACGATTTTTGGAATTTATGAGCAAAAGCGAAAATGTGGAATCAGCGACCAAAGAAATTTACGATGACCTTCTTGATGAAGTTTTAATGGGATTTATTTTTGATGTACATCGAACTACAAAAACTGGTAGTTCTGATGTTGAAGAAGGAATACCTGATGACGAATCATATGCCATTGTAGGTAAGTAAAACAATAAAAAGATATTTCTAAAAATATTAATTACTCTAATTGATTAATCAGGTTATGTTTATTTACTATAAACACAATTATATTTGACAAATACATGTAGAGAATATTAAAATATTTGTTTTAAAAGTTAACTGTTACTTTTACATAATTTACCTAATTGTAAAATCTCTTAAGATTCTCCAGGACTAGATGTCTTTGGTCAGCATCCTGTCAAAAAATCTCAAGAATGCAATTGCCCAAATTGTGACAGAGGAGTTGCAGCTTGTCGCTTTGCGACTCATTTAGAAAAATGTATGGGCATGGGTCGAAACAGTTCACGAATTGCATCAAGGCGTATAGCAAATAATTCAAAAGATCTCAGCAACTTTAGTGGAGTTATAAGCGATGATGATGATGATGTTGACTGGAGCTTGAATAATGACAAGCGTAAACGTAGGAAAGACCGGAATGGTATAAAAAGAACAAAACAACAAAAGAATAATCAAAGAAATGGAGAAAGTGTAAATGAACATGTTCATAGCAGTAATGAAAATTCTCCATCAAACTATGAAAATATGTCTTTAGAAGATAAAAGGATTCTATTAACTCAAATCTGTGGTGTAATATCAGAGCATACAAAAAAATTATGCACGAGATCTATGAGGTGTCCACAACATACAGAAGATCAAAGGAAAGAAATGCGAGCAAATTTGGAAACTGGAAACAATGTACAACCTAGTCAAGATAATCTTCATGTAGATGTAGATACTTATGAGGAAGGAGACGGACAGAATTTAAGAGAAGCATTAGCGCGTTGGGATCGTGAAGGATCAAGTCATTCTAGTCCAGCGGATTCTACATCTACCACATCAACATCTTCAATAAGTAGAAAACGGGAAACAAAATCAAAAGGCAAAGGCAAAGGTTCCAAACGCGATCGCGGTTCACCCATTTCACAAGGAGATTAGAATAATTTGTTTAATTTATTTTTTAATCATAAGAATTTTCTAACAGGGAAAGTTATGTAATAATAATGTTCCTACGCATTGTATAAAGCTTTAAGAATATATTATCCATCACAAAATATAAATGCAAAAATATTTTGTTAATTCAGTTTATCAGTCAAGTCATTTTTTAAAAGCTTATAATTTAAATCTATAAATATGTATTGTATGTAGCATCTGATGTTTCACTGTTTTCATGCTGGGAGGCGCTGTACTCAAAACATTCACACGTTCGAACATCTATATGATTATTCCATGATTATACGCCATTTTCTAACAAAGATCATTTGACGTGAAGTTATCGTGTGTGTTAAAGAAAATAAATAACTTCAAATTGTGTTATTTGCATTAAAATAAAAATGCTAAATGTACAAATAAGTGTAGCTTCTGGAGTAAAACAGATTTTTACTTCTGACATTCCACTCAAAATTTATGAATTACATGAGCAAATTAAAGGACTAACAGTATGTAACTGTATAATTTAACCTTAATCTAATATGTTTAACTGAAAAAGAAAGGAATTTTAATGTCAATTTATAAAACTTGTTATAGGAAAACTTTTACATTATACACAATGGAAGACTTGTTGATGAAAATGCCACTTGTTACGATGGTTATATTTCTATTGTACCACGATTGTTCGGCGGAAAAGGGGGATTCGGTTCCATGTTACGAGCAATTGGTGCACAGATCGAAAAGACTACAAATCGCGAAGCTTGTAGAGATTTAAGTGGACGTAGACTTCGTGACATTAATGAAGAAAAACGGTTAAAAGCTTGGATCGAAAAACAAGGAAAGCGAGAAGAAGAGGCAGCAGAACGTAAAAAAAGAAAATTAGAAAGACTTTGTACCGAACCTAGACACGAATTTAGAGATAAAACATACGAACGCGAAAGATCAGCCCTTACAGAAAAAGTTGAAGATGCAGTTGAAGAAGGATTCAAGGTTGCTACTTCTGGAATAAAAAGGAAACACGATGAAGAAAATAAATCCAATAAGAAAAAAATATTATTAGATCTTGATATTGATTCAGATGAATTAGATAGTTCTGATGAAAGTGATAAGGATGAAGAGGAGCCTGTAGAAGTACTTAAGGATTCAGAGTCACTTTCAAATGACAGTTTGTGTACTGTCAAGTGATAAAAATGGACAAGCGACTCAAAATAAAAACAAAGTAGAAATAGGAATAAGTTGTTTAACTTATTCTTTCGTCAACTTTTCGTCAACTTATTCTGAAATAAGTTGTGACATTGAAAGTAGTAGTAAAAATTATATTACTGAAAAAAAAAGGAAATTCCAAAATAGACTAAAATTAATTTATAATATTATAGTTTAGCAATAAATGCCTTAAAGTATTTATATAAAATTATATATAAATATATGTAATAAAATTGTTTGATATTTAAAAATAGCGTAATAAAAGAATTTCACAGTTGTATCTCTTGTATTATTACATTATATCTTGATTTTAGAGTGGATATAAAATTAATGTGTATAGTTTAAATGCTACATTGTACAAGTATAAGCTTCAATGAATGGACATAAAGTAACTTCGTTGACATATTCTTTTTTTTAACTCTTGTATAATAAATTAAAATACTTTCCAAGCAACTAGTTCACTAGTAAGTTTTATACCTACTACAAATAAGGCTACAGATGTAATAAATGACTTGAAGAAATCGTTTGCTAATAATTCTTTATATTTGTATTGTTGTACCCATTTGTAAAGATCTTTTATGTATCTTGAACCAATTAAATATAAATAATCTTTCTGAGTATATTTCTTTTCAATTTGCATATATATCGTGTTCATCAAGGAGCCCAAACAAATACAATAATAAGACTTACATCTTTTGCTTGATATATTCTGAAAACAGTTATTATCTATATATTTTATATCGTCATTTAAAGTATATTTAAAAGCAAAAAAATCTAATACTGTGAGTAAACCTCACATTTTTTCGAACTTTCTTTTCTTTAATAGATGATCCGTCAGTTAAAATCGGTAATGATGATGTACAAATATTATATTCCACAACCATTTTCAATTTTTTTTTACAAATTTGCATATAATTTATTACATCGTGATATAAAATTTGAAATATTACGTATAAATAAAACTAAAGAACATCGAAATCGACATTCTTTTATTCGATACGAAATTCCTTATTCAAAAGAGGAAAAGTAAAAGATACGCTTATTTGTAATTCAGATACTCAATGTTCAATGTCTTTCCTTCTATTGCTCATCCAGGAAAATTATGCCGCTAAATAATAGTTAGTGCTTGATTACGTGCAAATGTATATTCAATGTATATATGCATACAAGACACAGCTGCACATAATAATATACATGTTGCCACTAAAATGCCTTAATTTTCTATTTAAATATGTACAATATTATATTATTATCTAAATAACTCCCATGTTCATATTAAACAATATTTAACTTTAAATCTGAGTAATTTTGGATCACTTAAATACTATTAAATATACACACTTCTAAAAGTCATATTTGTCTAATCCTCTGTTGCAATTTATGTACATATAATTATATTTTGTTTCTACAAAATAAAAAATAAGAATTTAAAAATTTAAATTAATTTAATTATTTAAATCACGAAAAGAAATTTGTCAATAATTTAAAGCCTAAAAAAGTGTTACTTTTTAAATCAATAATATTATTGAAAAAAAGGTAATAAAACCTTATTACAAAATAATTAGTTAATCACTCAATATAGATACAAAAATAGTGGGGGAACCAGTTAGCCCTGGTACCGGTCAATTCCATCAGCGATGCTAATAGTCTGCATCTTGATGTCGAACGTGTCGGATATATTTTTTTAAGCGTGCGTAAGATACGCGTAAAACTTAGTAATTCATTTTGTTTTTTTTTTTTAGTAATCAATGTTATTTTCAACGTTAAATCACGGACCAAAAATGACTAAATTATTTACTTTGAGTATTTTGCAAACGATGATACTAAGTTATGCATTGGCTCGTAAGTTATTAACCATTTTTTCATATAACTTCGTGATGCATAAATAATTAATTTCATTAATAAAAACTATATCTTTCAAAAGGTGTATAAACATATTATTCGTTTTCTTTGGTGTCTGTTTCGAAGTTTGAAAAGTGATGACAAACTGGATGACAGTAGATTATATATATTTATAATTGATTAGCGTCCCCTTAGGAAATGTAAAATTAGAAAATTACAAAAAGTATCGTTACTGAATAAAATTTGCAAAAATACCAGTTTACAAGACATTTGTATTCTCAAGTTCAATCTATTGGAAAGACAAGCTATTAAGAATTAATTATTTTATTTTCGTATTTTAGAGACGATTGTTTTTTTTCTTTTTTTCTTTTTTTAGAGTACCAATCAAGTTGTTCATCAAGTTATGGTGAAAATGTTGCATGCATTTCAATACGTCAGTGTCCACAAATACTGAACCTACTTCAAATGCATCCTCTTACACCAGAAGTTATACGTTTACTACAAAAATTGCAATGCGGTTTCGAAAACAATAATCCCCTAGTCTGTTGTTCCGATTCCAATACATCGATTCGAGGTGATGGAAATAATTTCACACCATTTCAGAATTCTGCCTCACAAAATTCGTATGAAAACACTGACAATGCAAATCCACAGTACGACTTTTCTAACAATCCCTTACTTCCCACCGATTGCGGCAAAGATCTATCTCAAAGAATTGTCGGTGGAGAATTTACAGAACTCGACGAATTTCCATGGATGGCACTGTTGGAATACAGTAAACGTGAGAATTAAACCGAAAGATATATTTGTATTTGATTAAAAAGTTAACGGAAAGATAAAAAAAATAATTGACATAAAATTACATTTTTCAGCAAACGGAAAATCTACGGCCTGCGGTGGAGTTCTTATTAGTCGACGTTATGTCCTAACGGCAGCTCATTGCGTTAAAGGCAAAGATTTGCCAAGTACGTGGCGTCTACAAAGTGTTCGTTTAGGCGAATATGACACCGATACCAATCCTGATTGCATTCAGGACAGTGAAAGTAGCAAAATTTGCGCAGACGATCCTGTAACGTATGGGGTTGAAGAGCAAATTGCCCATGAAAACTACCGGCCACTGTCGAGAGATCAAAAATACGATATTGCTCTCCTAAGATTATCTCGAGATGTTACGTTCACCAATTATATAAAAGCTATTTGTTTGCCACCGACTGCATTTCTTAGACAAAAGTTGTTTGCTGCTGGTTGGGGAAAAACGGAAAATGGTACATCGTCGAACATAAAGCTGAAGGTTTCTTTGCCTCTCGTTGATAAAAAGCAATGCCAATCGACTTACGAGAAAGCAGGACTATCGCTTGGCTACGGTCAAATTTGTGCTGGTGGAGAAAAAGACAAAGATTCGTGTAGAGGGGATTCAGGCGGACCTTTGATGACTGTAGAAAAAAACCGTGATGGAACCGGTAGATGGATTGCCGTTGGAGTTGTATCCTTTGGACCGTCACCTTGCGGTAAGGTTGGATGGCCTGGCATTTATACCAGAGTAATTGATTTTGTACCTTGGATACTCAGTAAACTGAAACCTTGACCACTGTATTCAATTTATCTTTCTAATTTTCTATACAATATCCGTACATGTACATGGACATGGCAATAAATAAAAAATCGATCAAAGGAGTTATTGTATACTATTTATCAGCCAATATAAAAAGTCATATAATATCCTTGATGTAATGAAGAGAGAGATCTATCTTCTTCCTATAATGACCTGAATATGGTATATCAATATTATCACTAACAATTTCATCGTTATCAGTTTTAAAGGTTATCGGTTTTATAGGTCATGGAAAATATTGTATAAGGATATTATGCATATAATGACTTTTATAATTTTGTCTTAATAAATACGATATATCTTAATTAATAAATAAAATTTCTGAAAAATTATATGAAAATTGTGGCAGAAACTATTCATTTATTCTGAAATTTATTCTCATATGACGGAAAATACGTTCGATGTTGGAATCAGAAATCCCTGAGTTGCTTTAATAAGTCAACCTGTAAAGACATTATGACGAGACCTGTTCTTCGAAGTAAATATTTTTGTACAATTTATCCTGTCTTTAATGAATACGATGTAAAGCAAAAGAAAATACGTTAATTACATTTGTTTCGGTGTTTTCCTTGTTTATCAAATAAATAATTTTTGTAGGCTGTAACCTGTTCACTTAAAAAACAACCAGTCGATAAAAGATACATTTATGTTTAACATAAAGTCGGTATTAATCGAAAGAATTTTCCTCGTAACCCCTTCCCTCGCAACTCTTCTTCCAATCGTGAGACTCAACAGATGGCAACAGTTAGTATGCTGAAGACTTTCGCGCAAGTCCTTTCTTTACGAAGCTAACAAGTAAATAGTTTTCGAAACTGGTTTGCCTGCTTCATCACTGATTTGAAAAATCACAAATACGATATACTGTAATCTTTTGTTTCTTACTGAAAAATGTTCAAAAAAATAAAGACTTTGAAAAAGAATCTGAAATAGTAATATAGAAATACCGTACATTTCCGGACTTATTTCAAGAAAAATACAAAAAGGAACTCTCAATACTAGCTGTGGAGTCGACATGATCAGCATTTTTTTTTTGCTTGTGCTTGATATCCTATTTGGGATTAGTGCGCGTAAGTGAGATTTTGTTTGTAAAGTTGCAATAATACTTCTGTTTAATTAATAATCATTATCATGCAAATTGGTAATTAATACTATAAATTTTAAATCATAGAAAATTATACTTATTATTTTCTCTTTTTATTATATAAAAAGGTATATATATTAACTAGTTATTGTGAAAAAAGAAATAATTTACGTATATATTATGAAAGATCGTAAGCTTCTAACATATATCGCGTACAATATCTCGCGCATTTTATTCTTAACTATAGTTAGAATTGTATATATCGGCTGGATATGTTTATAAACTGCTACTCTTAATACTAATGATATATAACATTTCTCCTTTTGTAAAATCAATAAGAGATCTACTTCAAATTTAGTTTGCAATAATCTAAACAATTTACTTCATAATTGAAATAAATAATTTAAATTAAAGCAATTCGACTCTTTCTATAGAAGATAGATGTAACATATCACAGAATAAAGTTGGCGTTTGTATAAGTATACTGAACTGTCAACCACTGATAAACATTCTTAAACAAAGGCCATTATCAGAAGAATCTCTTAAATACTTAAACAGTTTACAATGTGGTTTTCAAGGTACAAATCCCAAAGTGTGCTGCGAACAAGTAAACATTTTAGACAATCATTATATTTAACTTTCATAACTGAAAATATCAGAAAAAAAACATATAATCATAAAATATTACAATTTTAGAATTCAGAAACATCTACAATCACAAACAGCAATCTGAATCCGGTAGTTACAAGAGTTAGTCCGCCGGACGTCACAAATCACCCGAATTTACAATTAGTGAATGAGGATTTGTGTGGCCCAGTAACGCAACAAAAGATATATGGTGGTAACAAAACTGGCATATTTGACTATCCATGGATGGCATTACTCTCTTATGACATCGAGAATCAACGTCGAGAATTCCGATGTGGAGGATCGCTAATCAACAGACGATACGTACTCACTGCCGCTCATTGTGTTATGTCATTACCGACTAGTAAGTCGATCATGATATGGATTGAAAATGAATCCATTTTACTCATAAATAACTAAATAGAAGTACTTTTTATTTATAATATTTAAGCTGATATAACATGTTAGATATCAAATTAATCGGAGTACGACTCGGGGAGCATAATTTAAGCACTGAACGCGATTGTGACAAAGATGCCAACGGACTCGAACTCGCTTGCGCTCCGAGATATCAAGATTTCGGTATAGAGAGTACGCACTTCCATCCAAAGTACTCAAACTTCCAAAATGATATTGCTTTGCTACGATTGAACGGGGACGCAGATTTTGTACAAAATGTTCGTCCAATTTGCTTACCAATCGGATCATCTAATATTTTGAATCAAACAAAAGTACATGCAATAGTCAAAATCAAATATTTCTTTCAAGTTACATTTCTTCTCTTTTTGTGATGAATTTTATTGATTTCCGTATTTAATAATAGGTAACAGTGACGGGATGGGGTATAACAGAAAAGAATATTCCTAGCCAGAGCTTGTTACAAGTTCAATTATCACTAGTAAATACAGAAGAATGCTTAGAAGTGTATAAAAGAAAAGTACAAATTTCGTACAAGCAAATATGCGCGGGTGGTAAGGACAAGAAGGATTCTTGTGGCGGAGATAGCGGTGGACCACTTCAAGCTCCAGGAATATATAATCAAAATCTAAAATACATTCAATATGGAATTGTTAGCTTCGGACCTCGTATCTGCGCTACAGAAAAATTACCTGGCGTTTATACTAACATTGTGTATTACATGGACTGGATTTTAAATACTATTAAAGCATAAAATAACAGCTGGCATTAAAGCAGTCATTAAGCTTGTATTTTTTAATTAAGAATTTAAATGTTTTAAACATAATCAATAAATAAAATTAAGTTAATATGACAATTGCTAATGCACTTTATAAATTTTTTGCTATAAATATATATAATGAAATATAAAGATCTTACAACACTGTAAGATATTCACAGTCAGTTTTTCTCTATATGTTATGTTTGTATTTACTTCAAAACACATTTTCAATGTGGCCATTGAAATTGCTAAAGATTAAACACTCGTTATCGGCAATTTGTCATCTTTGTTTTGATCTTCAATTAGCTCTGCAGTCTCGTTTATGGAGACTTTTAATTGACTACGGTCACTTTTCTTCCTGGGAAGTGGAACTTCAGATTTACTTATCGATTTTTCAGACACTTGCGACATATAGGTATTTGATGAATTTAAAGATTGACTCGATAACAGTGTACCCGAAGAACTAGTTAGGGATCCAGAATCCGATAAAGAAATATTTTCATAATTCATATATGAATTTATGTTACTCGACGTTGGTCTATGTTGTTTTCTCTTTCTCTTTTGTTGCAATATTTTTGAACCACTTATTTTCTGTTGTGCCTGTGTCAACGATTGATAATTCTATAAAAAATGTTGTTATAATTATTTTCCTAAAGTCTATTTTAGATTTCCAAAAAATAAATTTTATCACCTGAGAGTGACGCTCAAAAAGAGTAGGTATTTGTGTCACACGATCCAACATCATTTCCATTTGCAATCGATGACGCTCTGCCTGTTCACGCGCTTCATCGCGTCGAAGTAAAGTTCGAATACTAAGATCTCTACTATGTTCATTCCTTATAATTGAAATTTATGTATGTAGTTATTATAATATGAAGAGTAACTTCTAATCTTTATTAATACATAATATTCTATTAAAAAAATATATACAAATAGCGATCTTATTTTAAATAATCGCACCTCGCTGCAGATCTCAAAGCTTTCCATACTGGATTACGTCCAATCAAAGACTGTTTAATTTTTGTTGCTTGTTCCCTACGTTTTTCTTCCATTCTTTCCCTTATTTCACGTTCTAATTTTTCTCTATAATGTAAATACAAAAATATTTATTTTTTTTTCATTGTAATATAAATCAAAAGTATATATTTATTGAAATTTTATATAATCTTGTAGTACCGTGACACTTGACATCTTAAAATTGCTGCTAAATTATTTCCTTGTATAGGTAAAAGTGACATCATAGATTTGCATCTTTTTAATGGCATTAAATTATTACTCGACAGCTGCGAAACATTCTTATCGTCGGTGTTCTCGTTACAATTTTTAATTGTATTCTGCAAACGGGTGTATGCAGATTTTATACGTTCTCTTCTCGCCATTGACGGCGGTAAGGAAGATGATTTCATTAATTGTGCGGCTCTTAATCTTTTTTGCAACTGCCTGAAATTTATAATGCACTCTAATCAATCTACTATAGAAAAAAAAAAAGGAAATCAATATGCTACACATTAAATTGACCTATAATATTCGTCTTCAAGCATACGATCATATATATCAGTACTGAAAAGATTCTTTGGTACTGGTTTAGCTTTAAATTTTGTACTCTTGTTAATGCTTTTGCTACGAATTTCTGGACTAGATCTTGTTAAAGCTCTCCAAGCACGTCGATCGCATTCAAGCTTAAAAGGACGTATCTGAGACATCAAATTTAATGCACTTTCTTCGCGGATTATACGACTCCTAAAGAAATAAGTGCTTGTAAGAACCATAGATCTATTATCATATATTAACAGAAATGAAAATGATATGTAAACGCTTCCTACATGGACTCTTTTTATTGTTTTCTAAATTTGTACATTTTTGTTCTTCTATTCCGGTTATATTTTTTCCTTCTTCTTCTCTGAAATATATGCTATATTATCAGCTTTATGTAAATAAATTGATAACTTAATGTAAAGGAATATATAATTCATTTTACCTTAAAGTAAAACTAAATGGCTTGGGAATAGTAGGGTGCCATTCTTTTGTAATACTGGCTGGTAAACTTCTTGTTTCCATACTATCTATATCACTTTCAATATTATCATTGCTATTTAACTTATGCCATGTACCCCAATTTTTATTATTCAAACGTATTTTCTCCTTACATACTGTTTCATTTCTTTTATCTCTTCTATCATATTTAAAAATGATAATAGTTGTAACATTAACTAAATTAAAGAAACTTACTATCATTTAATTATAGATACCTATTCGTTGACAGATCCTGATCTTCTGAGAGTTCATTAAATTTACTAGAAAGAAAAATTAAAGGACTAGGAGTTCTAGATTCTTCTAAGTAACACTTTTTACCATTCAATGTTAAATCATTAATATCATTCTTACTTTTGATTCTTAACTTTTCATTACATTTAGGTACTGAAAATTTAGATACATTTACATTTTGATGACTAGCCAACGAATTCTGTAAATTTTTTAATAACAATTTTTGTTTCCTTTTTAAGTAATCTACTTTTTGTTTAAACTGCTCATTTGATAAATGATAAACTTGACCATAGTCTGGTATACTATCCAAAAATTCCAAAAAGTTATCCATAGTCCCTGTAGGACTTGATATTTCAGATTCGCTAACAAATTGATCATCTTTAACAAAATTTACTTTACATCTATTATAAAGACCATTATTATCCTTTTCCTTTTTAAATTCAAGACGTTCATAAGAAGGAGTTGGTTGCCTACTACAAGGATCTATTGGAACTTTTACACAAGAGTTATAAAAGGATGTACCTCTATGCTTTGTCATTGCCTACTGTAACAAATAAATATTTCATATTATACATTTTTAATTCAAATTTGAACATTTTTTTTAATATGTAATCATGTTCTTATTTGTTTTCCTTTATACAGTTTTTTCTTAAGTTTCTAAAGTTTTAAGTTTCATTAAAAAATATACACATTTAATTTTAATATTTAAACAAGACAATTGTGTCTCACAAAGCAAATTACCAAAACACTTCTTTTATTAAAAACATTTAATTGACTATATATTATTTGTATGTAAATGAACGTTAATACTTACCTATGAATTTGATTATAAACTTCACAAAATTTGTTCATAAATTAAATACCATATTATTAATATTTCGATTAAAAAGTTGAAAATGAAGGATCATTCACTAATTACATATATCATTATATATTATTAATTTGTCTTTATTATACGATACATTTGTTAAATTTATTGATATTCAAACTTGGTTCTTTACTTTATGATTTAATCACTATACGAAAACTCATAGATCAATATAACCTTTGTTGCCCGTCACCATGGTGAATAAATTAAAGAATTAATAAACATTCTTAATACTAATCAATTAAAAAATAGTAAAATTCAAAATATAAACATAAAAATTAATAATTAATTGCTTGTAGAAATAATTTAGATTACTTGAATACTATGAATTAATATTTTAATATTTAAAACAACTGTATAAATTTAAATGATACAAACTTTGAATTATATAAATTTTATTTATGATTGAATAACAAAATAAGCATTTACATGCACTTTGATTATTATAACAGGTAATAAAAAAATTTCATTCATGCGAGTAGCTGCAAATACTGAACAATAAGTTATTCTTATTGATTATCATAAAATAATTTTGAATATTTTTATTTATATATATTCGCGAAAATTATTAAGAAAAAGATCATTGTAATAAGAATCAAAGGATGTTAATCCAGTTGAAATACAATTTACAATAAAATGTTCAAATAATTAAAAATCCTAAATAATTTTAAATTCGAGGTAATTAAATAAATAAAATAGTTTTTAATATCAATTAATATTACAAGTCATGTCTTTCTAGCATTTAACATAATTTTAATGTAATTTGTTTTAAAACAATTTTGTTCCTTGTACCATGAATTATATGTTATGTTTATTTTATAGAATACAAAAATGGCGACTTTTATGAAAGCAGTGACATATTGTGATGGCTTACCATTAATTTTAAAAAGATGTAAATATGTTACTCCTAATCGATTAACGTTTATGATAAAACATTGTTCCATCTCTACACAAAGCCATGAAAATTATGATATAATTATTAGTGGAGGTGGTATGGTTGGAACCACACTCGCATGTGCAATAGGTTAGCATTTTCTACTTTAAAATTATATATAACAATATTTTTAGTTTTCAATTTAAAAATTGTATAAATAAAATTTTTGATAATTTTTTTTTGTCTTGCAATAGCAAACAATAGAAAACTTGAATGTAAAAATATCCTGTTATTAGAAAGTGGTAAACAATTTGAATATAGATCACAAGAAAAATATTCTAATCGTGTTGTTGCGTTAAATCAACAATCACGTACTTTATTTTCAAGCATAGGAGCTTGGCAGCATATTGAAGCCATACGTTATGGTACGGTACAAAAAATGCAGGTATTAAAAGAATAAAACTTATAAGAGATATTTCAGAAACTATTACTAAATTCTTTGTACTAATGTTACAAGTGTTGTAATTAAATGTTAATTTTTTAGTAGGTTTGGGATGCATGTTCTGATGCTATGATTGTATTCAATGAAGATTATTTAATGAAAGAAATTGCTTATATAGTTGAAAATGATTTATTATTACATGCAGTAAATAAACAATTAGCAAACAAAGAAAATGTAAATGTAATTTATAATTCTAAAGTTGAAAATATTAAATTACCTAAAACACCAGAAGAAAATGCAGAGATACAATTACAAGATGGAACAAAATATAAAACAAAGTTATTGGTAAGTAAAAATATAATACTAAATTAATGTTTCAAGCAATTTGCATTATACCGAGTTATTACATTCCCTAACAATGCATTCAACCTTGCTAATTAAATTATCTAAATAGACATCAATATTATAAGAGCATTTTTTTAATTCAGCAACTAATTCATTTAATTGTTGTTGATTGTTGTCACTAGAAGTAGTATTAGTGTAAAGTTGACTTAATCCAGAATCCATTTCTATATTATGTGCATTATATGTAGATGCTCTTTTTACTTTCATATTTTGATTCTTTCTTTCAGTTACTAAGCGATAGATAGATTTTATTAAATCTCGCGGTAGACGCTTTTCACGGGGATCGTTAGGACGAATATGTATCGCACAGTGATGTGGTGGATGTAGTAAAAGTGCACCTCGTCTGCATGCCTTCACTATTGTATTTGGTGCACGGTCTAAAAGTTTAGAAAACAACATGTTTTCCAAGTGTGCTACTAATTCTGCTCTACGTACTAATCTGTCTAATCCAGCACATCTTCTTAATTCTTGTATATCTGATACAGCAAGGCCCATCATTAAATTTGTTAAAATTACTGTTACTAAGATGATAAAACTTAGGAACATTAAGTGTGCAGTACCAGAATATAAAATTGGAGATTTTGAGCTAAAGAATATATCTTCAAATTCTAATTCTCCAGACATCATTACAATTGTTTTTAATAGAGCAATTAATGGATCATTAAATGATTCATAATTTTTGTGCAGTACACTGAAGCCTAAAGAAAACCCTATTATAAGGCAGATATAAGCACCAAGAAATTTAAAAAAATTAATTGATACTTGAGTAAACATTTGTATATACAGGCCAAACATCGGAAATCTCCCAATTACCATCATTAATTCTATCCAAATTAGTAAAATGTCTAGAGCAGCAACATGATACTGCCAGTTATGTAATGGCATGATTAATATAATACTTGATAGCAATACAACACTCCATTGAAGCCAATTTTCCCATCTTTTAATATAACTATATATACCATGAGCCATTTGGAAGAACTCTTTACTAGCTAGTGTCACAGTAAACATTAGTACTAACCAAAAAAGTACTTTCCTGAATTTTTCAATATGTTTAATATCACTCAAATATGTAACTGCAATGTATGCTGTAAAAAGTGCGACGAATATGAAATGAAATATTAAACTTAATAAGAAAAATTTACGAATTCTCAACCATTTTAAGTAAAGAAAACTTTCACACAAAGGATGTTTTAATACATGTCTTTGTCCAACTTCTACAAGACATAGTATCAAATCTGTTTCTCCTCTACCACCTGATACTAGTGGTCTAAAATCTATTCTTAATTCACAATCAACGTCGCCTAATTCATGGTCGTGTAAAGAAATTGCTTGGTCCAAACGCGAAATAAATAGTGGTAATGCATCTGGTGTTCTACGTACAATGAAACTCAATGCCGAGATACCACCTTTTGTTCTAGCAGTGACATCTGCTCCTTTTGATAATAACATTATTACTGTTGATGAACTTTCATTTAAAGCAGCAATATGTAAAGGTGTGTAACCAAACTTGTCTGCTTTGTTGATTAAAGCGCCAGCCTATTAAAGTAAGGAAATTTTGTAGCTTTGAACAATTTATATATGTTTTACCTAATTATCTTAAGCAGTAAATGAACCTGTAGTAGAATGTTTATTAATTCTATTTCTCTAGTAGCTTTTGCAACTGCAGCATATAATGGAGTACGACCATCATTGTCTTCAGTGTTAACTTTAGCTCCAACACTTATAAGTGTATTTATTGTTTCCATAGATTGAGATAAGACTGCTAAATGCATTGGTGTTTGTCCCCTTGCATTTTTTGCTTCACATGCTGCACCAGCATCTAATAATAATTTTGTGCATTCAGCACTACCTTCCTCAGCTGCTAGATGTAAGGGAGTAGATCTCATAGAACCAAATTGAACCCTTACATCTGCTCCATAAGTTAATAATAATTTTGTGCATGTAACAGAACCCAAACTAGCTGCTACATGCAATGGTGTTTCCGTGTAAACCTATTTAATTATGAAATGTAAATAACAAATAATAATTTTGAATATTTTAATATTTATAAATAGAAACCTGAGGATTATTAGGAGAGGCACCTGCTTCTAATAAAGCTTTAACACAATCTACCGCATTACTTAAGACAGCATAATAAAGAGGACTTTTTCCATATATCCCGGCATTTACATCTGCTTGTGATTTTATTAAACATTTAACACAAGCAAGGTCTCCCATAGCAGCAGCACAATGTAAAGGAGTGTATTTTTCATTAAAGTCCCATTCACATGGATTTGCTCCATATCGTAGTAATTCTTCTAAAATCGTTAATGAAGCTGTACAAGCAGCTAAATGTAAACATGTCCTATAAAATCAAGAAATTGGTGTTTTGAAATTAGCTTCTTTTATTTAATTAAATTACCTGCCATCATTATCTCTAGCTGAAACATTTGCATTTTTATTCAATAAAGCTCTAACCACATCTACATGACCCAAGTAACAAGCAACTAAGAGACAGGTATTTGGCCATCTCAGAAAAAGTTGTGGGACAGTTTTATTTAAAGCTGCTTCATCTTCAATATTGAGTAACGTATTTTGTAAACATCTATAAACAAGGCTTGAACTATATTGAATATAATTTTTATAATCTTATACAACCTTACCCATTTGCAAATGAAGATATAGTGCTGTTTTTAGGATCGACTGCTATTTTGCTATAATCAGTTTTTAGAAATTCATCTAAAGCTTTGTCTAAAGTATCTCCATGAAGAGTAGAAATAACAGAAAGTGCACGCTTTCCTGCTGGAAGATTAGATAAGGCCAAGATAATTTCTTCTGTATTCCATAATTGTTGATTTATTATTTGTCTTTCTTTTATGTGACATGTAACAGGTTCAGAACTATATTCAGAGCTTATGCTACCTTCTTCCATATCATTCATCCAAATATCTTCATAATTGCCCTAAAATTATTGATAATTAATAAATAACATTTAAATTTGTTCCTCATACTTACTATGTAATTGCTAACAGTAGGAGCTGATGGCATAACATTTGATTCTTCATGAGAATTATGATTATTCAAAAATTTGCTTAGAAGTGTTTTTTTTTTCAGGATTGACATGCTACCTTGAATTCTTTGTTTTTCTATATGTTATAAATTAACATTTATTAATTTAAAATAATATAACATTAACTGTACTTTTAATTTTAATTTTAATACTCAAGAATTTGCTATTCGATAATGTTCACAAATTGAGCACTGTATACCTTCAGTTTCAAGTGCTTAAATACTATTTTCAGTTACCAGTATGCTTTAAAACAGAACCACACATATTCTTTGGTGTTTATAAAATAGAACTGGCCTATATTTAGCTCTGACTACCTCTTGATGTATATCTATACTAAGAGAAAATTCTGGATTATCGAATTCTTTCTTTTAAAACATTTCTTTTTCTTTTAATTAAGAATAATATGTAAAATTTATATTTCTTTACAGAACTTCACTTTCAAGATATATTTTCATATATAACTGATAACAATATCCTTTGAGGAAAAAATTGTATTCATACACTATCTTTTTTGCTTATTAATACACATATACAGTGTATACTAAATCCCAAGAAATCAAACTATATGCACTTTCTTAAATTCTTCTCATAACTTATCATTTTTTCATATAAAATGATAAATAACTATTATGCACATAGCGGTATAAAATTTAAATATTTGTAATAAATAATTAAAAACATACAAAATTTATTACAGTTTTGTTAAAAATAATATATTTTATACAAGACTAAGGATAAAACACTTTAAAACTACATTCATGTTCCTTACTGAAACATAACACAGAACTGAAGTTATTTCCAGACATATTACCAGTCTCTCTCTTTATCCTTCCCCTTCCTATAGTACTTACATTATCTCCATTTAGTATTACGAATTATTATTTAATTATTCTTTATTATTGTAATACATTTTGTTTGAATTAAGAAATAACATTAAGAATTACATTTTATATCATATTTTCCAGGTTGGTGCAGATGGTGCACATTCATTGGTACGACAAACAATGGGTACGCAATATGTAAAATGGGATTATAATCAACTGGGTATAGTTGCTACACTTAAATTATCAGAGGTGAGAATTATATTATAAAATTATTGCTTTAATTAAAATTATATTGATTGTATATTTATTTCAGCCTGCAGAAAATAATGTTGCATGGCAAAGGTTCCTACCAACAGGACCTATAGCACTGCTCCCAGTAATATATTTTATTATTATAAACTAGCTAAAGTTAATTAAAATATTTTATCAACTTATTTATTTATTATTATAGTTAACAAATTGCCTTAGTTCTCTTGTATGGACATTACCAACAGATGAAGCAAAAAGATTGTTAAAAGTTTCAGAAGAAGAATTTGTTGATAATGTAAATAATGCATTATGGAAAATTTATCCAAAAGATGGTATAGTTGAAAGCGGTCTGCGAGCACTTCAACAATTACTTGAAGGTTTATCGTTACAAAGTGGTGTAGTGAGACAATTACAGCCGTCCGTATCTACTATTGTCGAAGGATCTCGCGCAGCTTTTCCTTTACAGTTCGGTCATTCTGTATCTTATGTTCAAATAGGAACAGTTCTAGTGGGGCAAGTAAAAGACTATATTCATTTAAAATACATTTTAGTAAAATTACATATTTGATATTTATATATTGCTTATATTATATAATATAAAGGTAATTTTTATATTAAATTTTTTAGAGATGCAGCACATAGAATTCATCCATTAGCTGGTCAAGGTGTTAATCTAGGTTTTGGAGATGTAACAGTATTAGTTCAACTTCTTGCAGAAGCTGTTTCAACTGGAGCTTCACTAGGAGATATAACGTATCTAAGGAAATATGAAACATTAAGACAACGATACAATGTTCCAATAATGCTTGCTATTGATACACTACATCGATTATATAAAGGAACAGCTGCTCCTATTATACTAGCTAGAAGTTTGGGATTACAATTGACGAATGCTATCCCATTGATAAAGGTGAAACAACACAATTGAAAATAGTAAAATTATGTACAATGTTATATCATTTTGTATTAATTAAAATTTCATGAATTCGTTTAGAATGCCCTGATAGAACATGCCTCTGGACAAATGGAAAATCAATAATACTAATAATCAGTATAAATATTTATTTCTATGATATAATATAACTACCTTTGTAATAAATTTTTTTATAATAATACATGTGATTATATGTGATGTATAAATAAATGATTTGAAAAAAAAAGGAATAAAATTTGTATATAATATTTTTTATATTTTTATTAATAATTATAGTTACAAATATTAACAAATTTATTTTATTTCTATTGCTTTATGTTTAAAGCAACGTTTTTATAAAATTATGATAAAAAAATATACTCTACGAATTGAAAAATTTATCGAAATATAAATACATCGATAAAAATATCGATACGTAAAGAGAAACAGTGATTAATGCAAACTGATTACTATTCCACGTGAATAAAGGTTAAAGGTTCTAAAATGAAAACAGGTTATCATGTTAGTTTTTCAGAAAAAACAAATAATTAAACAATTAGTTAGAATTAACCATATAATATTGAAAAAAAATTAAAAAAATTGAAATATTCTGAAACACAATTTTTTTTTAATACAGAATTGTTATACCTTTTACATGTATGTAGTCTAGGTTATTATATGATCACGAAATTCATGAATAATTTCTAAGTTTATAAAGCACAAGCGTGTTACATAATTTTGTATACTTAATTTCGTTTATATGATAAGAGAAGACTACTAAGAAACAAAAGAATTTGAATCATACTGCAAGGTAATTTAATGTTAAGATTATATTTACATGACTATTATATTAAGTTAAAAAATTTTTATTTATTGTTTTTTAATTTCAGGAACGTCATACATAAAAATTTAACTAATTAAATAAAGTTGTGTTAGTTGACTTTTGATTGATAATGTTTATATCAAAAAAATTATTAAAAAGAGCTGCACTTGGAATAATTGGATTGGGCACGTTAGCATCTTTAAGAGCAAATGAATATGATTTGGGATCTATAGGTATTGTACGTCTGGGACGAGCTGCAATCACTGTTTTTATAATTGGAAGATATTATAAAAATGAATTATACGGGAGTAGTTTAAACTCAAATAGTCAAGAATATCTTGATTTAAAATCAGAAGTACATAAATATGGAGCACAAAAGCTCTTAGAACTTTGCTGTGCTAACAAAGGTGTTTATATAAAAGTAGGTCAACATATCGGTGCATTAGATTATTTATTACCACCAGAATATGTTAATACTTTGAAGGTATTACATAGTAAAGCACCACAGTCATCTTTTAAAGATGTACTTACTGTTATTAAGGAAGATTTTAAAAAAGATCCATATGAAATATTTGAAAGTATTGACCCTGAACCTTTAGGTACTGCCAGTTTAGCACAAGTTCATAAAGCTGTATTAAAAAATGGTGATATTGTTGCTGTTAAAGTTCAACATCGAGCAGTTAAAACAAACTCTTATGTCGATATAAAAACTATGTCAGTCTTGGTAAAATTAACATCTTTAGTTTTTCCTGATTTTAAATTTGATTGGCTTGTTGATGAAACTAAAAAAAATATTCCTCGAGAGTTGAATTTCACTGAAGAGGGAAAAAATGCAGAAAAAATTCAAAATATATTTTCACATTATTATTGGTTGAAAATACCAAAGATACATTGGGAAATTTCATCACCCCGAGTTCTAACAATGGAATTTGTGGAAGGTGGTCAAGTTAATGATCTGAAATATATCCAAAACAATAATTTAAATCCATATGAAGTTAGTAGTAAATTAGGTCGACTCTACAGTCACATGATATTTATTGTGGGTTTTGTACATTCAGACCCACATCCTGGTAATGTTTTAGTTAGAAAAAAAAATAATGAAGTAGAAGTTATACTTTTAGACCATGGATTATATGCTAATCTTTCAAATGAATTTCGATGGGAATATTCTAAACTTTGGTTAGCAATACTTGATGGCAATAAAGCTGCAATGCAAACACATTGTGCCAATTTAGGTGTAGCAGATCTATATGGATTACTAGCCTGTATGGTATCTGGACGATCTTGGAATACAATTATGGCTGGTGTTCAAAAAACAAAATATGACATGCAAGAAAAAGAGGAATTTCAGAAAGAAATACCAAATTTATTACCACAAATTAGTGATGTATTAGACAGAGTGAATAGACAAATGTTATTAATTCTTAAAACAAATGATCTCATGCGTTGCATTGAGTATTCCCTCAATACAGAATCAAGAATGTCAGGAATGATGGAAATGTCAAAGTGTTGTATACATTCTGTATATGGAGAGAAATTAAAATCCTGCACAAATGTGTGGGAGAAATGGAAAATTTCTATATTTAAACAATGGATGCTCTTTAAATTATCACTATATTATATATACTTGGGAGTATCAAACTTTAATATACAACATTCTGTAAACTCACTTATAAAAAATGAATTTTATGTTTTTTAACATTTGTTTTTTCCTAGGAAAAATAAATTTATTTAGAATGAATATGAAATTCATTACATAATTTAACATCTTTAAATGTATCTTAATTTTAATGATTCAAACAAATAATTTAAAATATATGAATAGATACTATTTATTCATTTTTTACTTTAAATGAAAAAAATAAAAATTTGTGTACAATATTATATTTAAATCGAATATATATATTATTATTTTAATATACAAATTTATTGTGCCATATTTTGATGATCCAATGATAATCAATCATAATCAATTATAATTAAAATATAATACCAAATAGTTATTACAAATATGTACATATTATTATATATATTCTATATAAATTATAATTTATCATTCACTTACAATATATAAAACCTTTTTGACTTTGATCTTTTTTGTTATTCATATATGAAACATTATTTTCGTACATTACCATTTATTTGTATTTAATAATGAATTAAAAGATATAAATCACGATTGGTTGTTATATTTAACAAAGAAAAATGAGACAATAAATATGTTCAATCACAAATCATGTTTCTATTATACTTTTGAATATCTATAAATAAGAATAAGCTTTGAATACATTTACTAATCCTTTTTGGTACTACATATTATAATGTATATATATAGACAATCATATATTTAAAAATTTTTGCAAATTATACTTATATGTAAGAATATACCTTGACTTTAATCACATATTACAAAGGCAAAAATATATTGCAAAAATATATATAAGTACAGAAACATTATTTTTATATACTAAAGAAAATTTTCCTCATATATAGTTATTTAAAACTTAAAATAATTTTACATTTATTTATTACTTTTTAAAACAAACAAATTTAAATGTAAAGATTTATTTATGGTTTAGTTTTTCTTAATGATCATCAACTAGAATTCTATCATAGACTTTCGATATTCACGATATAAAAATAGATTTAACGTAGGAACGAACTGAGTAAACCTTTTCTGAGAAAGTTAAATATGAGGTCAAAATGCATCGTTTATGCGTCATTCATTAGTCACGCTTCAAGTACATGTACTTTATTATACCATAAAAAAATAAAGAATACGTATTTTTAAAAGATACTTAATATTATGAAACTTGACAAAAAATAAAAATAAAAAGAAGAATTACTAATAGCATTTGAAATAATCTGGATTTTATGGAAAATTTTGTAAAAATCATTAATATGAAATCTATTTCTATAATCTATCATTTACCCACTTTTATTTTCATAATTGTAAAAATGAAATATGTAAAGAATTACTTTCTTTAACATATCAATTTTTATTTGATAAATTTTATTAAATTAAAAAAAGCAAACATTGTTTTCGTATCATAAAATAAGACGCAGAATGGAAAACGTCCTGTTACATTTGTTGGGTGTAACAACGGTTACTCCTGTCAGTGTTGCCACGTCTTATAATCTTTATAAATCAAGTATTTTTAAATCAATATAACTGTTTTTTTTTATTTGTAGTACTGTAGTTTCATGGTATATTAATGTCCTCAGTATAGTCATTTTTTATTAATAGTAAATGTATTGTATTATTTGAATGTAATATAATAAATTTTTAATATTTTTGCAATCTTTTAAGTTCTTTTAAAATTTACAATCACTGAATATAGTTTTTAATAAAAGTATCATTTAATAAATTTCGTATTTTGTTTATTTTATTACCCAATTAAAAAATATCAGAATAACATTTATTCGATGTTGCGAAAATTTGTTTGTCATTGTTGTAAGAATAATTTTCAATGTACAAATTTACAATACAAAAATAATACATTTAAAGTTTCCATTCTTTATGATATGTGTATGCATATTCGAGCTGCATAATATGCAAAGTACAAAATTTGGAAAAATTAAGAATTATTCATTGATCGAAGCAATGTGAAGAAATTCGGCAACATTGGAGATTGTCCGCAGCGGAAATGCATATAACGTATGAAACGGCGCACGCGATTGGTGAAAGATCGACCGCACGACGTATTCATACGCTACAAGTTATTTTCTATAAATAAGGAATTTTAACGTAACGTGTAAAATATACATAAAGTTTTGGATTGAAATTATCACACACATATTTATATACCATATAGATAAAAATATATTTAAAAAATTTCTTAAAAGTATTACTAATATAAGATTTTATAAGGAACTACTTTCTATTGATCGCGCGTAAGAATACTACATAACGACAAGCTTGGGGGTATATAAAGCCGCCATAAAGCGCGTAGCGTTGGCATTTCCCAAGTCATTTTCGAACGGAAGAGGCTGTATCTTGCTCGGTGATTGTTTAAAACCTGTGTCGTTATGTGATTTTTTTCTTCCATTGTTCTACAAGAAACACAGCCAGATACAGGTTGGTGTACTTCTTACTTATTCAATAATTAGGTGAAAAGATCAGAAAGCTGTAAAAAACCGTGTGAAAATCGTTACCAGTCGTTGCTTCGTGCCTAATCTATTTCTCAAGAAAAATAGAAAGTTGCGGTTGCTGTTACTACGTCAATTTTGGGAAGAAGAGGAGGATATTTGGATTGTGTACGAGATAGCCAAGAAAACTGAACAAAAGTCATGGTGGCCACTACGAGACCTCGAGAAATTGATATCGACAAACCAAGTCATACCGAACAATTAGCTAATTGGATTAGTAGAGTTCGGTGTAAAAAACTGATGTGTCGTCGAAATCGCAAACGTGATTTGCGGATCGAGGCAGTGTTAACGTGTGCTCTTTTCAAAGCTGAACATGAATTACGCAGCAAGCAATTAACTAGAATTTCAAAATGGCAACAATTCAAAAAACAGTTTTTAAAGGATACAGATTATCCAAATTGTGAATTCTACAATGACGAAGATATGAAAAACTCGAAGTTATGTCAAGAGAATGATCCCTGGCGAGGTCCTTTATGCCCTGAACTGAGTAGTTTAGACAATTTTATGTCTAAATTGGGGGAAATTAAAGTACCACTACAGCGATGAAGGAATAGACATAATATGAGCAACCAGGCCTGAAAAACCTAGGAATGCGTCAGATCCAGTCTAAAAAGAAGATAATTAGCAATGTTTTGTCAACGAAACGTTGACTGTAACAACAGCTAAATGGAGTCTCGAATCATTATGCAGTACCGTATCACGACGGTGCTGCGGGAATAGAAGTCGCATTACTATCCTGATGTATATCTGGATATTTTTTACTTGCAGTCTCGCCGTTTGAGATGGCATTGGGACAGGCGGAGGGAGTTGCTGTTTGCAGAGATGCTGGGCGTACCGCAGAATCGGGGGATCCCATGTGTTCTAGTCCCTACAACTTTCATTGGTTTGGTTTGTAAACTGTATCGGAACCAATGCATTCCTCTTTGCAATTTTTTGTAATGATATACCATTCGAATTTGTGAAACATGTTCAAAGAGCGTTTGATTCGATATTTTTTTTTTCAGAAATACGGCGGTTTACATAAAACATTTTGTACTTACATGATGTAGTTTAAAGACAATTTGTATAGTGCATTTTAACCTCTAGATTTAATAATAGCGGTTCAAATGTTCACTTAAGTATCTTACATATCAAGGAATAATTTTTATGTGTAGATTTTGTATATGTTTAATGTTAACAGTTTTGTAAATATTGTGATACAGCAAAACGGCAGCGGAAGAAATAAAAAAGAATAATAAAAGTTGGAAAAAGTTGACAATTTTTCTATCATCTTTTAATTCGCCATATTAATGCCAAAAATCCTTTTCAGTCCGGCATACTACACATAAAATTCTGTCGCACGCAAGAGAAAAGCCTGCACATGTGCCCAAGCTGTTGGTCGTCATCGGCGACACTATTTGACCTGTCGTCTGTATATGAGATAAGGAAGTGGCGAGAGGATTGGTATGGGATAAACAAAGGGGGCAAAATCTTTGTTTTTAGAAATTCGCGCATGAAGTTTTGTGGCTGAGTCGCACGATGATCAAGTCGTACATAAACGTCTCATGTTAGCGCTTACATGTCCTTGAGCATTCAAGCATCAACTAATTCCAAAATCGTCTGCCGCGTGATACGCACATAGGCTTATTGTGACAAACTGCAGCAAACTCGAGCAAGTCCTGTTTGGTGAGCTAATCCCTTTCGTTCGTTACCTGTGCAAGTATATTTTCTCAGGTCCAGAACAGTTTTTGTAATGTTTGTACCATCAAAATTTATACATCAGTTGCTCTGACTTTATTGACAAATCCTGTTCAAAGTTGTGGACACCCAAAGCTCTGCATTCTGCCCCCATTTGAATTAGGATAAGAGAGAGAGAGAGAGAAAGAGGGAGAGCTTCTGCGAGGTATGGAGTAAATTCAGATGCACCTTTGTTGAATCTAGATGATCCAGAAAGGCGAATTACAGCAAGTAGTATAATTAATTTCAATAATAGGCATGCACATACATGAAAGGAAAGACTCCATTTTGAGTAGGAAATTACTATCAAATTTTGTGAGCATTTACACCAAGTACGTTTTTTTGAGAGTCATATTACTAGATGCTTATTTCCACAGATTTTGATATTCTCACGTAACTATTGGGTGCTAGAACAAGAAGATCGTCATATTATTAGATTAACAAATAAAATGGTTCCTGATAAGTGATGTGCAGAAAGGTCATGGAAGTAAAAAAAAAAAGAAACTGGTTTATATTACAGTTCAACAGATGCGAGAAACAGCAATGATACTTAAAAAATTGGGGATTAATGAACATTATGAAATAAATCTTCTAATAATAGTAGGAAAGCTGTAGCGATTACATGTGGAAGATGAGCAGTTATTTCTAAATTGAATTCCTAAGTACAGCATGTATAGATAATGCTTCCAATATTCCTGTAAAATGGAACTATGTATAATTTCTTTCAATTTCAAGGGAATACATCATCAATAAGTCAGTTGTCGAAATACTGATGGAAATTGCTTACTATTAATTATACAATTATAATTAATTAAGCTAAAGGTTTGATTTGATGTTCGTTCAAAGGAATTTGCCCTTTTCTCATATATGTGGTATCAAATATCATGTTTTTATAATTATTGTTTTAAATGTTTTTTTGTTGAGATGTGTTATGGTTCGGGTGACTATTTTTGTACTGCAGGAATACCTGAAAGATTCGTATTCGTGACGGTACAACTAAACAACTACAGGCACACTCGTTTCTGTTCCTGGATTGCGATGGATTCGTATTTCAAAGGTGTACATGGTATGTTGATTAGAATAGTTGTGATGGGGTTGCAGGGGGAAGTAACTATGTTTCAGCTAGATGTGGATAGAGAACGCGTTTAATCAACGATTAAAAGGTGCGCTTAAAATACATATGGTTTGATAATTCTTAATTGGATTTTGATGATAAACATTATATATTTGCTACTAAATACGTTTTTGATGAGAAATATTGATTTAAAAAGTAAAGAAACCAAATTTTTAATGAAAATGAGAGGGAAAAAAAAGGAAAGAGAGAGGTATGTTCTCGAAGAAGGTAACAATTTAATATGTTGATGAATGATTTGTATGAACATTAAATCGTAATTGGGAAGATTGGGAAATGGGGGTGCAATATTCTTGTATTGTGAGCTACAGGGTTGATGCTGTGACCATCTTTTTATCGCAGTGGATGAAATAAATATTTGGATATTTTTTTATAATGCAGTATATATGTGGACTCGTTTTATATTCAGTAGCAGGAAATGATTCTACCATTTCAGTTATTTGAAGTACTTGCAGCTATAATCGATAAGTACGAATACAATTATAAATTTTCATTACATTAAATTTCATTTCATTCAGCTGTTGGAAAAAGGTACTTGCTTGGTGATGGAACAGGTTGTTGCTAAGGAAGGAAGCGAAAAGCAGATGGTGTATATATCAAATCAATTTTAAATTGAGATCGTTTTACGCTTAATATGATGCATTGTAGATCTACAAGGCGTGAATCATATTTAGTTGTAATAATTATTTTGAAGCTACGTTTCTCTTGGATATGTCTCTGATTTGTCAAAAATGTAGGGAAAATAGGGAAAGTACATGGAGGAAAGAGGGAAAGAAAAAAATTAAGTGATCAGCAGACGGGGATGCGTTTGAAATAATTTCAGAATAAATTCAATTGAAGTATAGTAACGGACACATGGTAGCGTTAAAATATGTAGAATATATGATACCTGATCACCAAATTAGCATTATTTAAGTGTTTTTTAAACATGGTGGGTATTTTTGGGCGAATGTTTGTGACTTGCTTCAGGAAATTGAAGAAAATTAGTGACGGAAATTCTATGATAAACCTGCTCCTGTGGGAAATCAATGCCATGAAATATACAGCAGGAACATGTATGTATCATCCGAATGTTCTTATTATAGTTAGAAGCCGAAGTTGGACATGATATTAGTAAAATGTGTATCAAATTGATTGAAAATTTGATAACATTAATGACAAATATATTTCCAAGAAATTTACTACAATTGAAATACAAGTATAAATCCCCCCAAATTTTATTTTTTATATGAAAGAGCAATAAATTGAGAGAAAAAGGCACACATCCACTCTTCAATCAAGGTAATACTTTTAAGATATGATGAATGTTGTGATCGAATGTTATAATTTTAAATTAAGAAAATTTTAATAGGTGTTACGTATAATGATTTTACAGATTCCTTATATACCAAATTGCATCTTATCTATTGAAATAAATATATTCAAAGTGTTGTAGTAACTGGTAAATATTATATCAGGATAATATATGTAAAATAACAGTATTCTATTTGAAGGAAGAAAAAATTATATATGAATCTGAAAAAAAACAATAAGTCAGTATGTGAAGCATGGAAGTTTTCAAAATGTTAAAAAAAACCTGCTTTGTTTAAATTTTCCAACAATCGGAATTGAAAAATTAGTGTATAGGATTCCATGTAGTACTATTCATTGTATCTTGTTACTTACTAAATACTTTTATTTGTGGTTAAAAAAAAATAACTAAAAATATTTAAAATTGCAAAAAAAAAACTTGTGATGTAAAAAAGTTATTGAAAAATATTTTGCTCATGAAAAAAATTAGTGGGTAATTCAATAATATATTCATAGTTCTTTTTTGCTTTTTTGAATTCTAGTAAAATTGGTGAGAGAAACAACCAAAACAATAAATGTTGTTTTGAAAGTTTTATAATGATTCGAACTGTTGTGCATTTATAATGTTTCAATGGCTTATTTATTTTATAACTATTTCGGTTGATTATATATTATCAACTTTATATAGATTATATATTTGAATGTTGCATAATTTCTGTTTGTACAGTTTGCTCTGTCTCTATCGAAATTTTGTGTTATACAATTTCGAAGTAGATATGTTATAATAGTTAGATATATCCCAGAGAATAATGATAAATGACGCAGGAAAACAATTTTCGTAATAAAAAGACATTATTGTAACTTACCGTAGTAGATACTTGAATTAACGTAATATTTCTCATGGATAAACGAAGAAAGTAATATGTTGCACAGTATATATACTAATTCAAATGAATTAAACATTTAAGATTTATTTATTTATATATATATATAAGTATACAATGGAAATTAAAAATGTTCTAGTTCAAAAGAACTTCAAGTGTTATTGAAACTGGTTTATTGAAAATAATGAATGGATGTGAATTATCATATTTCGTTTTCTGGAAGAGACTATCAATCTTGTATACAGAGTTAACCATACATTAATTCCCTCAAAAGAAGAAATAAATTGACCAGGAGTGTTCTATATCTGTTCACTGATGGAATTTAAGGATTTATAGTATTGCTGATTTCTGTATAATTTCATGGATTATTGAATAATTGAAGTATATAAAACAAAATTCTGAGATGTATATCTATCTTTAGTAGACAAAGATGACTTCTATGTTAATTTACAATCAATAATGATATTATCGCCTGTGTATACAGTAGTAAAGGATTCAAGATGTAGAGATGATACATAGTAGACGCTTTAATATAAATCATTCACGCACAATTCTAACAAGAATTTTTTAATTTCTTCATTAAAAAGTAAGAATCATTTAATGAAATTCCTGTATAATTAGATGTAAGAAAATTTAATTAGTAATACATTTTTTTAATTTCAGATTTAGCTAAATATTGCACAATATAACGATCAAGGATTGTATAAAAGAATATGAAATTTGAAGTAACTTTTTTGATCCTAAAGAAATAGAATTAAACTATTTCGTTAAAAATAAGTTGTAATTTGTCAGTAATGCTATAGAAATATACTCTATAACTAAAAGAGGAGCAAAATTATAACAACATTCAAGAGTGTAATCAGTTACATGGGCATTGTAGAAAACATCATTCCTAAGCTAAGAAAAGGCATAAAGGGAAAGAAAATAAGAAACTTAATGTTTGAAATACAATAGAAAAAATATTTGTAATGAATTGTTGACGTGGTATTCCATGAGATTTAAGAAAGAAAAAAATAACTAAAATATAGGTATTCGAAAATTCAGCAAACGCTATCGATGCGAGACTTCGTAAAATTCAGCAAACGCTATCGATGCGAGACTTCGTAAAATTCAGCAAACGCTATCGATGCGAGACTTCGTAAAATTCAGCAAACGCTATCGATGCGAGACTTCGTAAAATTCAGCAAACGCTATCGATGCGAGACTTCGTAAAATTCAGCAAACGCTATCGATGCGAGACTTCGTAAAATTCAGCAAACGCTATCGATGCGAGACTTCGTAAAATTCAGCAAACGCTATCGATGCGAGACTTCGTAAAATTCAGCAAACGCTATCGATGCGAGACTTGGTGGAATTTCGTCGGACTTCGTGGGATTTAGAAGAGGCTCTCAACGCGTGTCTTCGTGGGAATTAGAAGAGGCTCTCAACGCGTGTCTTCGTGGGAATTAGAAGAGGCTCTCAACGCGTGTCTTCGTGGGAATTAGAAGAGGCTCTCAACGCGTGTCTTCGTGGGAATTAGAAGAGGCTCTCAACGCGTGTCTTCGTGGGAATTAGAAGAGGCTCTCAACGTGTGTCTTCGTGGGAATTAGAAGAGGCTCTCAACGCGTGTCTTCGTGGGAATTAGAAGAGGCTCTGAACGTGGAATTTCGCCAGACTTCGTGGGATTTAGAAGAGGCTCTGAACGTGGAATTTCGCCAGACTTCGTGGGATTTAGAAGAGGCTCTGAACGTGGAATTTCGCCAGACTTCGTGGGACTTTAGAAGAGGCTCTGAACGTGGAATTTCGCCAGACTTCGTGGAACTTAGAAGAGGCTCTGAACGTGGAATTTCGCCAGACTTCGTAGGATTTAAAAGAGGCTATCAACGCGGGACTTCGTGGGATTTAGAAGAGGCTATCAACGCGGGACTTCGTGGGATTTAGAAGAGGCTATCAACGCGGCGCTTCGTGGGATTTAGAAGAGGCTATCAACGCGGCGCTTCGTGGGATTTAGAAGAGGCTATCAACGCGGCGCTTCGTGGGATTTAGAAGAGGCTATCAACGCGGCGCTTCGTGGGATTTAGAAGAGGATTCGTGGGATCTAGTGGAGGCCAGCAGCGCGGGACTTCGTGGGATCTAGTGGAGGCCAGCAGCGCGGGACTTCGTGGGATCTAGTGGAGGCCAGCAGCGCGGGACTTCGTGGGATCTAGTGGAGGCCAGCAGCGCGGGACTTCGTGGGATCTAGTGGAGGCCAGCAGCGCGGGACTTCGTGGGATCTAGTGGAGGCCAGCAGCGCGGGACTTCGTGGGATCTAGTGGAGGCCAGCAGCGCGGGACTTCGTGGGATCTAGTGGAGGCCAGCAGCGCGGGACTTCGTGGGATCTAGTGGAGGCCAGCAGCGCGGGACTTCGTGGGATCTAGTGGAGGCCAGCAGCGCGGGACTTCGTGGGATCTAGTGGAGGCCAGCAGCGCGGGACTTCGTGGGATCTAGTGGAGGCCAGCAGCGCGGGACTTCGTGGGATCTAGTGGAGGCCAGCAGCGCGGGACTTCGTGGGATCTAGTGGAGGCCAGCAGCGCGGGACTTCGTGGGATCTAGTGGAGGCCAGCAGCGCGGGACTTCGTGGGATCTAGTGGAGGCCAGCAGCGCGGGACTTCGTGGGATCTAGTGGAGGCCAGCAGCGCGGGACTTCGTGGGATCTAGTGGAGGCCAGCAGCGCGGGACTTCGTGGGATCTAGTGGAGGCCAGCAGCGCGGGACTTCGTGGGATCTAGTGGAGGCCAGCAGCGCGGGACTTCGTGGGATCTAGTGGAGGCCAGCAGCGCGGGACTTCGTGGGATCTAGTGGAGGCCAGCAGCGCGGGACTTCGTGGGATCTAGTGGAGGCCAGCAGCGCGGGACTTCGTGGGATCTAGTGGAGGCCAGCAGCGCGGGACTTCGTGGGATCTAGTGGAGGCCAGCAGCGCGGGACTTCGTGGGATCTAGAAGAGGCCAGCAACGCGGGACTTCATGGGATTTGGAAAAAAGAGACCATCAACACGGATGACAATCGGGGGATTCAAAGGATGCTATCAATTCTAGTGACTTCCGGGGGGATTCAAAGGATGCTATCAATTCGAGTGACTTCCGGGGGGATTCAAAGGATGCTATCAATTCGAGTGACTTCCGGGGGGATTCAAAGGATTGCTATCAATTCGAGTGACTTCCGGGGGGATTCAAAGGATTGCTATCAATTCGAGTGACTTCCGGGGGGATTCAAAGGATTGCTATCAATTCGAGTGACTTCCGAGGGATTTAAATCAAGCTACCAACGTGAGGGACTTTCGGGGGATTTAAACCAAACTACCAACGTGAGGGACTTTCGGGGGATTTAAACCAAGCTACCAACGTGAGGGACTTTCGGGGGGATTCAAACCAAGCTACCAACGTGAGGGACTTTCGGGGGGATTCAAACCAAGCCACCAACGTGAGGGACTTCCGGGGGGATTCAAACCAAGCCACCAACGTGAGGGACTTCCGGGGGGATTCAAACCAAGCTACTAACGTGAGGGACTTCCGGGGGGATTCAAAGGGGGCTTATCAACGCGGGACTTCGTGGAATTTAGAAAGAAGCTACGAACGCAGAACTTACATAAGACTACCAACATGGGATTCAAAGAAAATTATACAGATGTTTGGACATCGGTGTGATTCAAAAGTGACTGTTAACGCGGGACTTCATAAAGGTGCAAAAAAATAATGATAAAATTTTACACACGCCAAAGATATTTTACCAACACATATTAGAAACAATATATTTAAATTTTAATACTAAAGTGTGTAAATATATATTACTTATGTACTTTGTGGCATTTTGCAGGTATTATGATAACAAAAATTATTGTAATTGGTTTTTTACAAAACGTGGAATATGTGAAACAATATTACTGTACATTGAAAGAATATACCCATATGAAAGTAAACCAAATAAATTCGCCAAAATAAAGTTATTTGTTAGAATTTTAAATATTAAAGTAATTGTTATAATAAAATATATAAATTCCATATTTATTATATTAAATATTTAGAGTGTTTATATTATATCTTTTAAAGATATGTAGAATTTGATTGTAATAATAAAATTTAACGTATAAAAAAAATGTTTAATCCTCGATGGCGTGCGTTATTTGATAACATCGACGAGCACGATTTTTCATGAAAATATTAAACGAAACGAAGTAAAATGTGAACAAAAATTATAGAAACAGATTTATTAATTTTCTACTGTCGAATTGATTTATCAAGATGTATTAGGAGCACGTAATCCGAAGGGGTATCGAACTCAAAAATTTTACCGCCCGCGATTAACGCCATCTGCAATTTTGGGCCCGAAGCTCAGAAAAGTAACAGGAACATAGAATGCTACAAGAGGAAGTCGAAGACCTGGTCGCATAATGGACAAGGACAGCATGCGATTAGAAAAGGATAGAGACAATGCTGCAATGAAAAATCACAAATTACAAAGTTTCTACGATTAATTTATGAACTTTTATAGCTGCATCGTGAAGATGGAACGTTGGACAACATTCTCATGCTATTTTCGGTAATTGTGGCTAATTAGCTTATTTAATAATTATTTGAAAATGAATAAATATTCCAAGTTTCTGTAATTAATTCACGAGCATTTAATTGCACAGTAAAGTTGAAATTATAGGCAACATTCGTATGCAATTTTTGTATATAATTTGATGCTAGTTAATTTGTTATTAATGATTATTTGACGGTGTATGTCATTTCGTAACAACAATCCGCATGATTGCTCGTTGAAATATTTAATACTGAACAAAATTAGAAGTAAAATGTGAACAAAAATGATATGAGAATTTGCCCAAGGATATTGTTTTGACAATGTGTGCATGTAATTCATGAATTAATTGCATAGAAGTTCTACAATCTACAAACCTGAAAAGTTTCAACTAAATCGATGACCCGAAGGACTTGTACTCTCCTTGTTAATTAAAATAGAAGTTTTGAATTTGTACATGTCAAATATGAATAAAAATATTGAAATACATATTTTGTGAAATTATTACGTTTATTATCTATCTAATAAAATGAAATACATGTTAAAGTTTTAATTTTTTTACATCTTCTGGTCGAAAATCTATCCTCATAGAAGCAATGCGTCGAACTTCAGTAGGTGTTAATCTCCATGCTATTGCATCTGCACCACAATAATCTGCTAATTCTTCCACCTTTTCTACACTTAATATAGTAGCTATTTGTGTTAAACGTGCAAATTTATCACGTACAGACCAAGAAGTAACAGCAGCTAAATAACTTGCCAATGATCTTATTTCTTTATCAAGTATGAGACCTCCCGCCTAAATGAATAAGTGACCATAAGAAAAATATGAAATAATGAGTTTATGAAATATACATACCCTGTTAAAAGTAGACTTTAATACAACTTTCTCTAAACGAGCTGTAACTTCAGCAGTAAGAAGACCAATTAAAGCATCGTAATTAGATACTGTTAAATTTCCCTTAAAACTTTGAAGTAATCCTTCTAAATTCATAATCAAAGTTTGTACAAAGGGTTCTTCTGTTTCGTACCTTAATAAATCGTCCTATAAATATTAACGGACTAAGTTGTTTTTTTATATAACTTACTTTAATCTTATATAGTATAATAACTATGATTATATATTAATATTTATTTACCTCATTTATGTGATGATCGACTGATAAAAATGCATCGACCCAAGGTGTAACTCTTGGTTTAACAGCGCTTACTCGTAACTGTTCCAAACCATAATCAGTAACAGCTCGCAGTATCGACATAACACCTTTCAAACCGGATAAGCAACTGTCGATTTTCCCTCTATCTTTGCTTTGCATATTTGGAAATGTTGCATCTATTTCTGTATTGAGACTTTTACATAGTGTTTCAACATACTCAATACTTACATCAGTGTTATTTAAGTAGGCCTATATAAAAAAAAATATGTTATATAAATTAATGTCCAAGATGTTTATTATTTTCAAAATTACTTTTAATTTTACCAAAAACATTAAACGAGCAGCCTCTGTATCTGAAGTTTGTAAACGACCATGCTGTATACTTGTTTGAAGAGCACTGTAAGCTTGTGCTAAATCTAAATATCCTGCTGGATAACCTTGTCTTAATCGATTTCGTAATCTATTTGCAAATTCTCCTTCTAGTATACCACAAGCCATATTAACTACAGCACAAACACCATCTATACTCCAACTTGACATAGAACGCCTATACATGAGAATTATGTAAAACCAGTACAATACATAATTGTTCTTATAATGTATAACATCTCTAATATATAAAATTTAAAACTTTTTAATACCTTATACATTTTTGTATTATAAAGAAAACATCATCGACCATACTAGATGTTTGTTGATCCTGTTCTAGGGTATCTATCCCTAATGCTTTATTTACACTTTCTTCAAGAAAATATCTTTCTAAAGCAAGATAAGCTCCTAAAAGTTCTTGCATACCATGTGCTAAATCAGAGTTATTGATAATATTTTCAAATTCACTTATTAAATCTTTGTATTGTGTATCATTTGTTGCACTAATTTCTATATCATTCTGTAATAAGTATGTGATGATATTATAAAATTTTCATAATATAAAAAAGTGTTCTACTTACTTTAACCCTTCTTCTTAGAAATCTAATGTACAATTCCGCACGTGAATGCATTATTGTAATTTCACCCAATAACAAATCAAATTCTTTAGGATCTGCCCTTTCAGAGCTTGGTTTTCGAACATGTTCATTCACTATTTGTACTTTCTTAGATATACATCGATATTTTATAAATTCTGCAATAATCTTTTTAACTTGCCTATTTAAGAAATAAATAACAATGAAAGTAACTTTTAATATTATTTTTAAAGGTACACATAATTTACCTATCACATTCCTTTTGTAAAATAGAAATTGTCATTAACAGTCTTCCAGGACCATAATATGTTTCAATTATTGGTTGATGTATCTCTACAATACGAGCAATTCCTTCAAATAGTAATGTTATAGTATCAGCAAATATAACTGATGCTCTTTTATCGTTACTTTTCATTTCTAAAGCTGTTTTTAAATTCTTTTGTGCTGTTTCCTGCAACTAATGTTAAAAATCACAGTTATATAAAATATATAAAGTTTAAAAAAGCATGTAATTTATTACCTTTGTGCACAAATAGTTACAAAATTTTTTAAGTCCTTCAGTATGCATTCCTAATAATGGAAATATTTTGAAAAATCTTTCAACAGATGCAAGATCTTCCAATTTTACTGCTTCATCAAATTTATGAGTAACTACAGTTTTAAGTTGTAATGCTGCTTGTTGTAATGTAATTAAAGAACAACTGATACTAGTATGATCCATTAAAATATCTTCAGCTGTTCTTTCTAATAATTGTTGATCCATTGATAAATAACGATGTACATGTGCTGCACCTTGCTCATAATCTTCATTACTCAATGCCATGGCTACTCCTTCACTGCATAATTGTAAATCAAGGATGTCATTAACACGTCTTTGACATTCATATACTCTGCTCTATAATGTAAAATAATAGTAATGATTAACTAACAAATCAATATATTATATTAATAAACATGTTAATAGGAAAAATTCTATGAATAATATAGTTAATATCACAGTTCAACTTACCCTTGCTAAATCTAATTGTCTGACTTTGGCACTTACATTTTCTGCTAATTCATTAGTACGTGCAATCATGTTACAAAACTTTTCTCCTTCAGTTCGTATTACAACAACATTAGGTAATACTTTACTTATATTCTGTAGTTTTGTTTCTACATGACATTGTCTTGAAAGTATATTTTCTAAATTTTTTTCTATTTTAATCTGCAATTAAATAATTAATTTTTAAAAAAATTTAAATTGACTTTTAAAAATTCAAAATAAAAAAATCAAATTTAAAGAGAAAATTATGAAACCTCATCTTCTGATAATTTATCAAGTATTTGTGTTAAATTTTCTTGATTTGGAGATAAATCCATGATACACATTATATTGATGCAGAGGACGCTGTAATAAATTATTGTAGATTATACTAATTTAAATACTTTCCAAGTAAAATGTCAGATTCACATTATATTTGAAACAATTTTAAATTTAAGAGCTTCACTAAACTATGCATTCCATAATAGTAAATAATAATAAAGGGAAAAAATTTATAATTGTATGTACACAATTAAATGTTTATCATTTGATATATTTGAAAAATATTTCATAATATTTCTAAATATTGATTACAAAATTTAGTAATGGCGGATCCTTTAAACTTAAAATTTATTCTGTAGTTTGATCATTTTTGCGATTATATTAACAAGTAAACAATAGAAAGGTTATATACTTTCAGCAGACATTTATTATTTAATATCTTTCAAGTTATTTATTAATAAGCATCTATTTTATTGCTTTTTAAAAATATAATAAATATGAAAAAGTAACATATTCAAAATGTATGTAACAGAAATTAACTACAAAATTATGTCTTTGTAATAGAAATATTTTGAAACATTTTTTTTTAAACTCCTTTACTTTAATTTTATATTTTTGTCATAAAACAGCAAGTAGAATTAAACGAATAAAAATTTAGATCAGTCATGTTCATGAATATCAGTATAAACGAAAATTCACCAATGACAACGCCTTTAAGGTGTTCCACACATGCATCGAAACGTCCCACGCATCGCGCGTGGTTTCTGTAGGAAGTTGAGTTCTTTCCGCGTATCTTACGCGTTTTCCTGAAGGAAAATGGCTACCAGCTGTCACTTAATCGAAAAGTGTAACTTGTAAAGTGACATAGAATTTTGTGAAAAATCGTTTAAAGTGTATAAGATTGTCTGGCGCGATGCAATTACATAACGTTTAAATCATTTAGTTGATCGACGCCACTTTTCATCTACATGCGGAACCCGTGAAACCTTCTACAGTGCCATGAAATTTTATTCCGCTTTACTGTTTACAGTTTTTATTTTTTGCGAAACGAATCAGGACTAACAAGTCAACGCTACTTCCACGTTTTTTAAGTAATTTAGCCATTTCAGTAATCATTTTACAATCATTACTGACAATTTAACTGTGCTACGTATTAAAGTCTGCAAATTTTTTGACTTTTCTCACGTTATTATTTTTGGAGCACATTCACTGCAAATACGGTAAACTATTGTTTAAGAATATTTAATATAGAAATTATACTATATAGTTTAATCTATTTTTTCTGACTTTTATATAAATAGTGTTTATTGTGATCATATATCTTTTTAAAGTTGTCACCATCTATTTTAATTTGTGAACAAAATTTTTGTATTATTTCAGAAAAGCAGAATGGGTTCGAGTCAACAATTTTCTCTTAGGTGGAATAACTACTTGAAACATATTACTTGTGCTTTTGATACATTAAGAACAGAGGAAGATCTTGTTGATGTAACTTTAAGTTGCGAGGGAAAAAGAATAAGAGCACATAAAATGCTTTTGTCCGCGTGTAGTACATATTTTAGAGATTTATTTAAGGTAAACTAAAATCAAGAATTAAATACTTAATCACTATCGTCGTATAATAAAGATAAATTTTATTATAAATTTATTGAATCTTATTATAGGAAAATCCATGTCAACATCCTGTCATAATATTTCGTAATGTAAAATTTGATGATTTGGCTGCATTAGTTGATTTTATGTATCAAGGTGAAGTAAATGTAGTACAGGAACAATTAGCCAGTTTTTTAACAACTGCTGAACTACTCGCTGTTCAGGGTCTTACAGATGGTACAGGGAAAGATAATGATAGTTTAGTAGAGGTGTGTTTCTTAAAACTTTTGAACGAAATTAAATACTTTATGCTTAAATTATAATAACACATTATATGTCAGAAATATACAAGTTCAATCATTTTAAACTATGTTTCAGGATGACATAGAAATTCCAAATGAACCTGAAATTCAACTTCAAAATGCTTCTAGTAAAACAACAACAGACAAAAGAAATAAATCACCTTCATCTCCAATGCCTTACCATGCTGTCGATTTACAACCTGATGCCCCACCGAGTAAAAGACGAAAATGTAGAGAAAATGCAAATACAAATGCAGATAAGGCTATAAGTAATGCTTTATCTGGAAAAGATTCTGAAAATAAGACTTCAGAAAATCAATCAACAACTGGCTCAGATCCTGTTGAAATAATTCCTCTAATGCCGAATTTAAAGTTGGAAATGCCTGAATATCTAGTACAAGATGGAAGTAGCTGTAGTTATGAAGAACAGAGTTTAGGAGACAGTTCACTAAACAAAATTGGTATAGAAGATACATCATCTAATACTCCTGATCATGATCAGAAGCCTGATATTACTCAAACATTTTATTCAAGTAATCAGTCTACTTCAGATAGTTTGGATCTTAAACATCAAACAGCCGACGTTGGTAAGACTTTTATTAACAGTTGATACTTTTCCCTTTTAAATGCGCAGAAAGATATGTTGCATAATTTTGTTTGTTAATTAGGACACTTGCTTTCAAAACCTAGTACTTCTGGAGAAAGGTTAACGCAAGAAGCAGTACAGGGTAAGTGTTTCTTTTAGATAGTACTTACTTTACCTTATTATGACACATGATTCGTTGCTTTGTCATATCTTTTAATGTTTGAAAATGAATTTTAATAATTATCATAACTGTGATAAGAAATTATTATCAATAGAATATTCATAATATAATTTTCGTATTTTCACAAATTTTATGAGTATAACAAATGTGACGAGATTTGATGCTTAATAAAAGTTTAATGTTTGTCTTTGAATTAAAAGAAATGGCATTGCAAACTAATTTTAAGTTTTGTACCCATATATCGTTAATGTTAATAATTTCCAATTAATTTTAAAATGTCATTTAACTATCGACCGATGGTGCATTTTATGTTCATGACTGTAGAAAAAGTTTTATTTTTGCAAAACTAACCTATATTTATTGTAGTATATATATTAAAAAATTTGTTCAAATATGAAAAGTAAGATTATTTTCGTAAAATTATATGATATACGTTAAAAAATTGGTCGAATATGGGTACAAAATTATTCTTATGCATATTTTTACATATAACTTCCATTAACTTTTAATTATTATCGGAATTCGATGATAAAATTATGCAGACTAGGAGGGGAATTAATTTTGTTACTTAATTTAAAGGAAAAAAGCGTGTACTTCTTATGGTATAAATTCCAGAAATATTCACTAGTTACAACTTAATATTATTTTCATACAAAAGAAATTTATTTACAAAATATCGATAAAGTTGAAGACATTAATAGTGGTTGCAGTAAAGATATGTTAATAATTTATGACTAACAAGTTTTGAAGAAAAAATTTCAGTTATTATTTGTAGATTCGATTAGATAAAAGAAGAAGAAAATAAAAAATGTCATAACAAAGTTTATTCGTATTAAAAATACTAGGCTTTGTAGAGTATTAGGTTTTTTAGATCTTACGTTCAAAATACTTTTTATCTGTTGCATTTGAGAATCTTTTATTTTTGTAAAAACATTAGGATCGGATTATTTAAACGATCGTGTAGTAAAACATCGATGCAAATCTCTTAAAGTTATTTAAAAGAAAAAAAGAAAAAAAAAAAAGAAAAATGCATTTTCTATTGTGAAAAAATGTTACTTTATTTCCATTAATCATTTAACCGTACTATAGTATACAATGTGCATGGTTTTTGGATGTAAATGTATGGCATAGGCACTCGGGTGTAGGTTGAACTGTAGATATTAGTAAGCATTGCCAAGTGCTGTATGTGTGCCGACAATCATCAACATTCCCTTAATAACTCGTATAAAGCCACCACTATGTTCCTTCCGAGCACTAACTGTAAGCATATTTCTGTGTATACACTAAAATACCTTTAAACGCTGGTATGAGGTAATTTCTTTGTATCCTCGAAACTTTACAGGACACGCACGCACGTGTGTGATGCAAATATCTCACATGTCGATTTCACTTGCATGCAAAGTTAATCTTAAATCCGTTTATTTCGCTGTTGCCTGTCGCCTGCGTAAATATAATGAAAATCCTGATGAAAATCCTGATGAAATTCGGATGAAAAGGTATTTGAAGAAATGGTTGCACCGTTTATTACACTTGACTATTTATAATTCGATATACGACGAACGTAACGTATCGACGCAAATTTCTAATAGAATTATTTATTTCATCGTATCGCCATTTAAGATTAACTTGCAAGCTTGTATCCGTATCTTCCTTTTTCTTTTATAGAAAAGAATTTCGTAGCCTTGCAAAACGACTAATTTGAAGTAGCAATGGTGGTGGTGCTGGCGATAATGTAATCGCATGTAAACGATCCTTTTCCGTATCCGAACATCTTATTACTTATTCCTTCATTTTATAAAATGTATCGTAAACTCGAAAAATCAATATATGGGTGCGTGGGTATCCGATATTCAGGTCGAATCGATAAGCCTTTAGAACACGATAGGAATGGGAGCATTAGGTTTATTTCACTGAACGTTCAATTATCTTTTCAGTGAACCTTAGTTTCCTATGTAGCAACGTCAAAATTCATTGTTACCACGCGTTTGTTTGTTCTTTCGAAACACAACAAAAGACAAAATTCGAATTATTCCGCAACCAATTTTCTAACGCGACCCGATCCGAAATACCCGTTCGGCCTGTTTAAATGACTATTTCGGCAGGTAGGTAAGCAGAACTTCTTTATGTTTATCGTTTGATCGTTAAAACAGGAGCATGAATTATTCGTATAAGCGCGAATTTAACATGTATCGATAGTTACACTTTTGCGTGCGATAGTATCGAAACAGGGTTTCTGGAAGAATTTTCTGTAAAACGTTCCGTTCGAAAACTGTACACCGAGGAATTCCGTTCAAACAACAGAATCGTGTGCAACCCATGTAATCTTTCAGGCGTGAAATAACCATGTAAATAATGATTTAAACGATACAGGAGTCGATGTTTGTACGTTATTAACGCGCGAAAGAGCGATCGAGCTGACGCTCTATATTACAATTACGAGTGTTGTGTGTGCGTGCGTGGAATTACTCTCCTTTGCTCGCGCTGTACGCGCTAAACGTTTTATAACTCAGCGTGAAGCGATGTAAATCGTAATCGTATGCCGACGCATCGTTCTCCAGCAAATTGACGATAACATGCCGAATCGAAGAATTAATCTACCAAGACGACGACGAATCGTTGGTCGATCGATCTTCAAACTCACAATCAGTATCGAAAAAAACACGATCGTTTATAGGAATGTTAACGTTGCTCTGTGTATCAAAACGACCAGGCAGGTTTCAACTTGACACTTCCCAACTTCTAATGACATTGTTTCACGTTCACGTTCGTATACAAAGAACGTATTGGAGCGCAGAGAGTAAACGTACACATCACCTGAACAGAGGGTAGGAAGAATATTTCTGGGACGATCATATCAGCGGATGCACGTATCGAAGTAATCGAATAAAAGAAATGTTAAAAAAGGGCAAAAAAGTAAAAACCAAAAAAAAAAAAAAATAAAAAAAAATAAATAAATAAATAAATAAGAGTACGAACGAACGGCTTTTTCGATGATCAAAGACAAAGAGAAAGACGATTCATCAAGACGATTCACTCGATTTTCGAATCGAGAGGAGAAGCATTCGCGATATACATATACGTACTATATACATATGTAACATGTAGAAAATGCACGTACGATACGTCGTAGTTGCCAGACTGCGTTGCAAATGGAAAAGAAAGGAGGTGAGCTAGGGAGAGGGTGAGAGAGAGAGAGAGAGAAAGAGAGCGAGAGAGAGAGGGGTGGTAGGAAGGAGAGAAGGTTTAAAAAAGTAACTATTTCGTTGTATGTCGAGGCGGGAAACGACGAGAGAAATTCGATCGAGAGTTCGAGAAGAGAAACGAACCGAGAAGGAAAGAAAGGTGATCGACAGATTCGGCTAGCACCTGGCAATGCTACATTTCCATCTAAATACACGCATACACGTACGAAAATATATCGTGGGTATTGGTATCGCTGATACTCTAGACTGGCTTTCACGGCTACGGGATTGGTTGGTGCTGGGATTGATCGTTAAAGAAATTTGTTTACTAATGGTTGCCTGCATGTGCACATATACTTAAGAATTGACTAACCGAAGTGTTTGGCCAATGTGTTTTCTTCAGGAGGGATTACGTACGTATCTGGTCAGCCGCATAGCCTCAGCAAAGCAAACGGCCACGGAAAAGTATGTGTACACTGCAAGCAGCGCGGAATGGTTACATCACGTGGAAAGCTCAGGCAGACGCGCTTCAAATGTTGGCCCTGCAATGCCTGTTTGTGCCGCTGGCCATGTTTCGTCGATTTTCACAAAATGCGCGCCATCCCGCACATCCCGCCCCCATAGCACCAACTCGCCCCCTCCGACCGACCTGAGTTAATATCATTACTCGACTAATCATACCCTGTGCTTTTCGACTTTCTCTGTGTGTTACATCTGCGACAAGGGAAAACGATGTGAATTGATAGTGAAAAACAACAGGGGAATGAACAGAAGAAAAGGGAGAAGAGAAAAAGAAAAAGAGAGAATGCGAGAGAGAGTGTGCGTGCGTGTGTATGCGTGTGTGCGTGAAAGAGGGAGAGAAAAAGAGAGAAGGAGAGGGGAAAAATGAGAATTAGAACGGGAACAACATTCTTCTTTGCTGACTTTTTCTTTCTAATTTTTTTTTTTTCATTTTTTCCTTTTTTTTTTTTTTTTTTTTTTTTTTTTTTTTTTCCCCCATTCGATCGATACCGAAATTGTTATATTTCAGACAAGTTTTACGCTTGTGTATTTATTAGAAAACACACGACGATACTTTTTACTCTTTTTCCTTCTGTTTTTTTATGCGATCGCGAATAATTTTATTATCCTGCTTTCGTACGTTTACTCTCCATATTTTTCTTTAACCGGTAATCTCTCGTGTACCTTGTGATCGTCGGATTTATTGCGCAAGATTATTGGGTGCGATGTGCGTTTCGCGTGTTCTCGATGCGGATGCGTGATCGTTTCTGCACGTTATCTTTTCGTCGAAATAGCTAGGAACGTATAACGCGTAACACGTTTAGGTGATAATTTCAAATTTTTCATTTTTATCGTTTTCATGCAAAGTATACGCGTGTTCGAAAAATTTGAGAATATTTTAATCGTTTATTTTCTGGTCTTTCGACATAGAGGCTGCTACGTGGAGAAAGCAACGGTGAACATTCTCGTTTGAAACATATCGTACTCTGAACACGATCTTGCCACATTGCAAGTATCGTCCACCTGTCGACTATTTTTTATGATGTAACGTTAGCTGACAATTTAGCGTTTATTTATAATTCGTATTAGTTGTAAATTATCGGTTAGCTGATCGATTATTATCCAACATTGGATATTCCTTCGACCATTTTGTATTTTATACTTGATAACTTGATCGCGCTCGACGGCTTTATTGATTCATATGCCCGCACTAGAATAATATCGTTATTTAATTTAATTTTTACTCTATACATAAGACTGCGACGACTATACTCGTTA